TTATTATTATATATAATGTAGATTTTGTAAAATGGTGAAACTTGTATTTGCTATCTTTTTGGATTTTCTGAGACACTTTTATGTCTCAAAAAAATAATTACAGAGACTTCCTTTGACCTTTAGAAAATGTATTAATAGTTTATTTTTTCAAATTCCGTCGTAAAAATTTTATTTATACTTTCTTTTTGTAATTTTCTTACCTCACCGCTGTACAAACTAGTGTAACTTCAAACTACGGCACACTTTAGTTGCAGACCATGCACAATTGGAGACTAAGCTGTGCATTGTTGCCTTATTCTTAAAGGGAAAATTAGGTATTGAAAAGCAAAGATGTTTGGCGCGTTACTTTTGTTAAGTGGATCTTCACCACAAGCTTTACCATCACACAAAAACTAAATTTAATTCTTTTAAATAAAACAAATTATGAAACGGTATTTAACAAGTAACCTAGCAGCAAACTCAAGCAGTAATCAATAATGATAAATGAAATACACAAAATGAATAATCTGTTTTTATAACATAACACTTAAAATTTTGTGGCAAATCTTCGAGTACTGGTACCAGTATCCTTTTCCATGGCATTTAAAATTTCTAGTTCAAGGATCCCATGTCTCTTAAATGTTGAACCAATCTGGCAAACATTTTTTTATTCGGTACTTAGGTATGTCACGTAATTTATCTGAAATTATTTTTTTTGTTCCTAACAAAAAGTAGGCTCTAACCACATAAATTCTTTTTTGTTTTTTTTTTTCATGTACAAAAACTTGAAATTAAAACAAAATTTCACTGTATTGTCACTGAAGACAGAAATAAATAACTACAATGTAAACTCTTTTTAACGAATCTTAAGGGACCGGGGATTTTTTTTCGTTATAAAGAGTTTTTGTTATATGGAGTGTGCTTAAATTTTCCAAGCCAACCTTCTGATGCTTTAAAGTCAGTAATGTCTAGTTGTTCGGCAAACTTCTTAGCCTTGGCTTTAACAATTGGCCCCGAGATGGGTACATTATTCTGGCGCTGATTGTTAAACTAGGACAACATTGCTTGATCTAAATCTTCGAATTTTGGCTTCCTTAATTTTTTAGTAGAGACTCCCTGCAGTTCCGCCTGTAGAATTACTTCTTTGTTTTTCCAAATGGTAGCAACAGTAGATGGACTGAGGCCTAAACGTCTCCCAGCATTACTTTTCTTTTCTCCTTTTTCTATCGCACGTATCAAACAAACTTTTTCGTTAACACAATGCTTTTCTTTTACTGGCCATCTTGACAGTTTTAATGTAGGTTTACGACTGATAATACACAATAGGTCTCTAGTGCGTTTAATACCTGAGTGCAAAATTTCCTAGAAACAATGTAATCCAAGAGTAATGGCACACGTGTTCGAGGCAATTAGCAATAACAAAAGCAAGGCAGTTGTTTACGACCTCAGGGTCTTTCTTAGAAATTTCGGCACCTCGAAGATTTAGTCCCAACCTTTTGTAAGCTGATTATAAAAACAATTACACTATTAAATACTTCTGTAAATATTTGCTGGCGTCTAGATATGAACATATTTCTTCGTAATAGAGAATGGCTGTTGCGCTATAAAGAGTGTATTAATGTATGGGTTTTGACGTAAACCAACCAAACTGACCTAATTTCAATGTTATAGGAAGTTTTTCGTTATAAAGAACGACGTTATAAAGAGTACACTGTATAATATTACACATTTACACCACATAAAGGCACTTTATGTACAACCGATAAAGTTGAAGACTAAACAAATATGTAACCAAATGAAACGGTGCAATTTATGGCCAATTCCATTTTAATCAGGTGCGAGGACATTCGGCTCTTCCACACCTTCAAAGGCATACCGCAACAAAACAGCTGTTATTTTCGTCCACATTAACATAGAAAAAAATATGGCGAGTTTAAAACAAGTCATAATATTAAATTAATCTGTTTTCACAAAATAATTTTTAATTAGTTTTGCTGTCTAACAGTTGATTAAATAATATATTTACAATTAGTAACGTAACCCTATTATACAAAAATAAAATCTGTTTTACTAAATTATTTTTCATTGTCACGGCCCACAATGTAGATCGATTTAACCCTTTCACTGCTCCAGACGTATATATTCGCTAAAAATTTATAGGGCTCAAACTGCTCCAGACGGATTAATTCGCATGAATAGTTAAATTGGATCAGGCTGCTCAAACTGTATATATTCGCAACCATGCGCATTAGTGACTCGGTTATTGCAATAACCGTAAGGCGAATTTTTGCGGGCGAGCTTATACCGATTGTGACAAATATTTTTATGGAAAGAGGTACTGGTAATAGTACCAAGATTGTTCATGTTTCTTTCAGTTTCTATTTAGTACATATACTGTATTTTATTCAAAATAAAATCGTAAAATTTATCGTAAATCGTAATTTAACACAACATAATGTAAAACTATAAGTGGTCTAACTGCTCCAGACGTATATATTCGCACGCGATAAACTTTCGCGCACGGCGCGGTAGCTACGTTCAGACGTATTGCGCAGCGAAAGGGTTAAAG